TGTTTGACAGAGTCATGAAAGGGACAAGACATACTTTTGCTGAAGGTTGACCGTCTTTGTTCTTTACCCAAAAATAGATGTTTAGTCAAGCTTCCATGCATTTTTCATCATTAATATAAAGTAGATATCTGTGTCAATGGATGCGCTCACGCCGGAGTAGTAGTTCAAAAACTCCTCTTTTGTGACCTGATGTGTGAAGACATAGCATCATCAAAGAGAACACTGCAGAAAATGACTTGTAATGATGCCATCGGGGGAAACATTGTGATTGTGAATGCTTAAAACTGCTTTAAATCTCGTTCAGTCTGTGTACTATTAATACACTGTTATGCTTGATACTGTCTGTTTTAGATAAAAAAGAATGTTTTTCAGCATCTTCATACCTTCCCATCCTTGTCATCCGGAGAGTCAAAGCTATCCAGGAATTTGCGGAATACTTGGTCTTCGGTCCACTCGCCGTTTCGGTATTTGGGGTGATGTTTGACATTGTATACTCCTCTCAGATCCTCGATTGTAATCACACCATCTCCGGTCTTATCCAGCTTTTTGAATGCCTGTAGCACCACCTCCTTTCTGGCATTAGACATGGGTGGCTGCAATCACATGAATGAAAATAACAACATGAGCACTAAACTGGCCTCGGCATGAACTGGTCTAAAGGAAACACAACACCATTTAAGTGTGTTTACCCTCAGAGTGATAAGAAACTCATCAAAATCAATTAATCCACTGCCGTCCCTGTCAAATTGTTGAAAAAGGTTCATAGCCTCTTCTTTCTCAATGAGCACACCATAATCACTCAGGCCTTTCAGGAACTCTTTCATGTCCAGTGTGCGACTGTTATCATCATCCATGATCCTAAAAGTCCTGAGAACATCAGACTGTAGTCAAATATCTGCACTTCAGTCTATATAAAGCAACACATATAATGCATACTGTACCTGCCCAGTCCCTTGATTCCTGCAGACCCTCGTGCCAAACACTGTAGCCTCAGACGCTCAATGGGGTCTGAACAATTCGCCAGCTGCTTCTTGGCACTAATTGCCATCTCTCGGTCATGCCGCGATGTACCTGCCATCCTACACCTATATCTGATCTGAAGGTGACAAGAGTGATTGTTAGGCTTTTATCTGTTTATTTGGCAACACTTACAAATAAAGGTTCTTTATTGGCATCCGTGGTTCCATAAAGAACCTTTAACATCCATGGAACCTTTCCATTGCACAAAAGGTTCTGTAAAGTAGAAAAAGCTTATTTAGAATTTTTTTGTTTTTCACTCTTTTAAAAACTGTTTACTGCAAGGTTCTTTAGGAAACCAAAAATGGTTCTACTGTATGGAATGACTACGAAACCCTCTGTTGTGTAGTTGATGCGTAATGTGTTTAAGGAAATTGTTAAATTTATATGAACATGTAATGAAAGTGTATATCATAGGTCCTTTAACTGGTTGCCATACCGTTGAAGTTTTCACCTTTTTCTTTCACTAGCTCATTTTTAAATGAAATGGTGTGACAAAATGAATTCTAAAATTACTCCGTGTAGTCTCTGAATATGAGCTCATAAAAACGGCATGCATTATAATTATCATATATTATAGTGTGTTATAGTAATTCAACTTTAATACACAGTTATTAGCTATGAGCTATGACTGAGTAATTCTAATCGTGGACTACTGACTATGGAGTAAGGAAACAACATGCTCTTAAATTGCTGTAATTCAGCAAACAGCACATGACGCCACGGTATAAAGGCTTTATTTATCCGTAATAATCTATTCGCTGTATACTCACGGTGAGAAGTGAAACAAAACGATGATTAATGTGTTGAAACCACCTGGATTTCCTTAACGCTGCTTTGCTCTTTCCTGTTTTAGCGTTCGGTGTTTCCATAGTGACGAGTTCTTGTATTGGATTGGTCATTCTCGCTTCAGGTGCTTGATTCGGCGATTAGAACGCGATGTTTGACTTTCCGCTGTTGTTCAAGTTTACTGGTTGCTGTTTAACAGCCAGACGGTGCAAAAACAACAGCGAAACAGAATTTTGAATATGAAACAAACAACTGCGAGCATGACTACTGCTGATTTCTCCATTGTTCGAGGATGTTTGTGTAAGTACCTTCACGAGACAAACACAATAGAACGTTCTTGAGAGGTAATGAGACCATAGATACAATATTAACGAACAGAAGTAAATACGATTTAATCAATCATTTATTAATAATTGCAAGATTACATATGTGTCTATTTGGAATGTACCACAATTCAAATATACAAATCAACCGATTCCAGCATTAGATTCCAGTTGGCCTTCATCAATACACTAACGTTACTTGAGGACTGACCATATCAAAAAGACTACACCTCATTGGCAACAAAATCTTCATAAATACACAGTAGATATGAATAATTATCAGCAAACAAAAAGGTATGAACCAAAAACACAAAACAAGGCCCTTCTTATTTAAACTTGAAGGGCTAAATTTGCTATGAAAATACATTAATTCAAGATGAAACCATGATGTTTAGCATTTGTGTAGAGAATAGACATACTATGTTTGTAGTGAAATATACATTACTCATAGCTGCTACTGCACTTCCTGTGAGAAACAAGCCTCAGCATATTCAGTAGAATACCATGCAAAGATATGCTTGATGACTCTGTGTACAATGAGAAGTTTATGTATTTAAAAAATGTGATTCCCTCACATCTTGCCATGCACTCACTAGCCTTGTTTTAGAAGATTGTTATGTAGTTGCTAACCAGATTCCTTCAAGACATTCATATACTGATGGTCTGTTTTCTATAAGAAAACTGTGCTTGTGATAAAGAGATGCTTATAAGTCTGGAAAACCAGCACATAAGTACTTTTGTAATCCATTTAACCTGACACAATAGAATGTGTCCTTAAAGCTATTTTAACAGCCTTGCCTATTCTGAATAAGTGACATACATGCCAGTGCAAATAAAAAATGGCCAATCAGACATCCATCCACAAGACTAGAGCTAAAATAATGTAACAAATATAACTTCATTATAAATAAGTTAGTAACAGCTGAGTAACAGCCATCTGAAACAAGCAAAGAATGTGTCCAAAAGATATAAATAACACAGTTTAAGTACCAAATTAAATGTTTGTGAAAATAAATATTAGACTTAAAGTTAATATATTTTCTTCATTCATTAAAAAAAAGTTAAAAGAACAGTTTCATGGATAGAATGTGCATACACATACATACATACATACAGTATGTGTACATACATGTGTACGTACATGTACATATATGTGTGAGTACATGTACATACATATATGTGTACATACAATATAACTGTGTGTAGAATATAAATATATACATATATGCACGCACACACACACACACACACA